GAGGAGATTTTATAATCATCAGGTAACTTTGTCTCTTTCTCTTAAAGTTTTTTTTTAATATTTTGAGTTGGTTAGAAAATTGACTGAATCAAACTACTGGAGGTATTGACTTGAAACTTCATATATGGGTACATCTATTGTTCCCAAGAACCATAATGTAAAGTTATTTCCCTTTGTTGTTTTTCATACTTGAAATGTTTGTTCAGGACAATATAGTAAAAGTATTGCAGGTATCAACTTCAAACTTCATAGATTTTATTGGAAAGAAGAACAGTGCTTTAGAGAACCATAATTTTTCTTTTGCATTATTATTGTCCTTATATATACATTTTTGTAGTTGTCTGATATTTGATAATATAGATTATTTCAGAAATATTGAAAATTCACTGAAGTATTTCTTAATTACTTTTTAGCCACATACTTTTAGACTTAATTCAAGCATTTAGCTAGATAAGATGAATTGGAATAAGTTCTTTTTCAATTTTCTTTAACTCTTTCATTGTGAGATACCATTAAACTTTTCATCATTAATGTATTATAAAATATTCTTCATTGGAAAAGTAAGCAAGCACAGGGTTATAAATAATTTATTTCATTGATGGTAAAGGTCGTATTTTTTTTTTTTTTTTTTTTTTTTTATTAACACTTAAGAACCACTTGTAACAGCTTATAATAGTATATTGGCCAAATTGATACAGGAAGTGCCTATAAGGCAAATTCTGACATAGCACTTAACCCAATAATTAGGCTTAAACAATTGAGTCATTCACAAAACTAATAATTTGTCCTTTTTATTTTGTTGCTTGTCATTTGTAGGATTTTTTCCCTGAAAATTTTAATTTCTCAGATTTATAAGATTTGTTTTGTAAATGATGTAAAAAATCAGCCTTTATTGTGCTGCAGAAGAGATAAGGGAAACCGTTCATGTTGTATCTTATCATGATATAGAGAGTGTGGGAACTGATTGCTGTTTGATATGCAGAAATACTTTATATAATATATAAAATATATAAAAACAACAACTTGGCAACAGATGAATAAAATACATGGTCAGTTTATCAGTAACATGTTATGGTAAGGAATGTTCCATTCCATTTCATACTCTGATATTCAGTTCATAAAGGTGTTTCTGTTATAGGATACTTATATTTCATTTTTCAGTGATTTATTTATGTGTACTTCTATTTCATGCTCAAGGCAATTTGTAGATAAAGATAAAGGATTAAAGGATTTATTAAATAAAAATCAGTTATTTATAAAATTGTGCTGATTGGGGGGAAATATCTCAATGGTTTAAGTATGTAACACTATGAGTGATAAATAGTTGTTTTGGTTCAATTTTTGATGAATTAAATTATTAAAAACATATATGCCTGAGAAATCCATATTTTTAAATTCTTTAGAAATGTCGAACATGTGTTTAGTAGTGTTTTGATAATAGAATAAAAACTTTTAACTATTTTTGATGTAAAGCAATGCTGAATGTGCAGTAATGTGTCATAAAGTTAGGAAAATGTAAAACAAAAAAAAGTAGGATTTGATTTTAATATAAAATACTAATTCTTGATAGTTATACCAAATGCCAGCAGAGCATAGATAGATAAAGTATAATGGCAACTGAATATTTTCTGGAAATTTCTAACAAAATATGAAAAATAAAAAGGTTTTAAGAAATAAAAGTTATAGCATTTCTGAGATATAATGGGGGAAATATCTTTGTTTAAGTTTGTCACATTATGAACGATAATAGTTGTTTTGGTACAATTATTTGATGTTAAATGATAGAATAGATAGATTAATTGAGAATCAGTCATTTTTCAAAATTCAATGATGCAATTTTTTTTATTTTTTTTTAGTTTTTGAAGTTTGAAGCAAACAGTATATGTATTTTCACTTTGGGATGGCAGTATCTACATCTAGATTTAAGTGTATAAAATATATACATTTTATGTTTATAGATTAATGCCTGATTAAAGAAAGAAATTGTTACATAAATGTATTGATAAATTATATGTTTTAGATATATGTTTTAATAATGTAGGATATGAGATTATAGTTATTACAAAATAACATTGAAAACTTTCACATAAACTACATCACAATTGAATATTAAACTAATGGAGTTTTCAAATTTTTGATTTTGAATGCTGGATAAAGTGTTGAAATTTCTTATTGATTTGTGGATAACAAATAAGTTTATATTATACATGTTTTCAGTGAGAGCTGTTCAAAATTGTGTTTTTTCTCAACAGCTGGAATTATTTTTTTTATAACAATCTGTTTACTTAATGTTAACAATCAATTCATTGAAAATATTTCAGTATATTGTAATTCAAAAGTTTTAAAAGATAAAATTAAAAAGAAATTCATGGTTGAGTAATTATACTGTAAAGTTACCCTACATATAGGCATAGTTAGGTCATTGACCTTCATACCTAACTTTTTTTACACTATAAAATATCTATAAAACGTAAATATCTATAAAACGTCAAGTACATGTATCACATTTCAGTAGATTCACATGTACATTACCATACAAGTCAGCGTTTTGTGAAGAAAGAAGTTCAACGTCTCTTATTATGGTTATATGCATTAAATTTAAAAGCAGGAAAACATGGTTTCTAAATTAGAGGATATTCCAGTTATAAATGCTGGACAGTTTCTGCTGGGAAGATTGAAGGCTTTTAATAGAGAGAAGATTGCATTGGTAAGAATTACGTTTTTATTTACCCACTTAAATTTTTGCAATATCAAATTTTTGTTTATTTAAGTAATATCAAAATTACTTTTAGAACAAAGAGTTTATAGTGTAGCGTAATATACACCTGTGCATGCTTGCATGGCTCTTTCTTATTGGCAATGGTTTGCCATTATTGTCACAAATTAAAGAAGAAAGTGACAGCCATTTTGAGACATATTCATCTTTGATTTTACCAACTTTTTCCCTGAGGATGAAAACTAGTAAGGAAATAAAATCTGTTTAACATTTTTGTTATGTTTTGAAAATTGTGACTATTATCTAAATATCTTTTATCTTAATGCATTGACATTATTAAACACATTTGTTGTAATTAGAGAAGGGGTGTAGAGGTAAGTGCATGCTGTTCAAGAAACTTCAGTCACTATGTTCCAGCTAATTGTAACCACTCAGGGAATAGGAGAGTGGGCAGTTTTGACTTGGATTATAAACTCCTAGTACTTTAAGGCCCTGCCCTGATGGGACAGTGATAATATGTACAAAATTTATTTCACTGGTTTGGCCTTACATGGTTAAAACTTATCTATTCCACCAGCCTAGAGCCAGACCTAAGTCTGTGTTACTGCAGTCAAATTAATGTCTATTAATGGCTGCAAAAGGTAATAATGGAAAGCTGTTAATGCTAAGGACAACCCAGTGACACTTATACGACTGTACCCCCAGCAGGGCTATGTAAGAAGACACTTTTGAAGAAAATCTTGTACTAAACCCATTACATATTTTAATTGGGTGAGGGTTAAGCAATGTATTTGTTTACCTTATGACTCCAGCCAGCAGGTATGCGACTAATTTTTGAGGCATGGGGGACCACGTTTACCCATTATTGAAGCATGGAGGAGCAGGTGATCTGTAAACAGTACATGATTGGTTAATCAACGTTACATACTTTTGTTTTTTTGCGTCGCCTTTACAGAGTAGTAGCGACATACAGGGATCACTTCTCCCTCTGTTGGTCTGTCCCTCTGTCACAAAACTTGTCTGGACTTTTCAAAAACTACTGGTGCAATTTCATCCAAACTTTACAGGAATGATCGGTACCATGTCTAGTTGTGCATATCCCTTTTGGCGGAGTTATTGCCCTTGAGTGAAAAAGGGTGTTAATAAAGTATCCGGACTACTCCTCTTATATTGTATACCACTAATGCAATTTCAATGAAACTTTACAGGATTGATCACTGGTAGCTCAAGTTCTTGTGCATATTACACAGGTTTTTAGGTTGAATAATTTTAAGCCAAGTTATGGCTATCATGAGGCAACACAAGTGGTCACTGATCGCTCTTGTTTTTAATAAATTGGTGATAAAATCTATACTTCATGCAAATATGGTGCATGTTGTTTCAAATGGGTATATGAAAGAATATTCAAGTGCAATTAAAAAAATAAAAAAGGGTTAAAGGTAAACATGAAAATACTATTGTAGTCTGTATCAATGATACAGATGGGTGACCTACTAATCACCCTTTCCGGTCTCCAGTCTTCAATGGTCACCTGTCTCAAAGGACCTTCTTCTATTGACCGATTATTGTCAGCTATAATTTTTGAAATCTGTTAAATGAAATATCTTTAAATAATTAAAACTTTCCCCTGAAGGAAACTTTTTAGTCCCCTACCGGTTTACCGGAGGGGACTATAGGTTTACCCTCTGTCCGTCCGTCAGTCCGTCCGTCCACAAAACTGGATCCCGCCATAACTTGAAAAGTACTGAAAATATTTTTATGAAACTTGATATATGGATAGATGGCAGTGTGGAGATTATGCACGTCTTTTTCTTTTTTTCCTATTTTGAAAATTCTGGTTGCTATGGCAACAAATAGGCTGAAAATATGGCAAATTTTACACATAAACTGGATCCAGTGATAACGTAAAAAGTACTGGAAATATTTTTATGAAACTTAAAATATGGGTAGATGGCAGTCTGGAGATTATGCACGACTTTTTCTTTCCTTCCTATGTTGAAAATTCTGGTTGCTATGGCAACACATAGACTGAAAATATGGCAAATTTTACACATAAACTGAATCCAGTGATAACTCAAAAAGTACTGGAAATATTTTTATGAAACTTGACATATGGTTAGATGGCAGTCTTGAGATTATGCATGTCTTATCTGTTCTTCCTATTTTGAAAATATATTGGTTGCCTTGGCAACAAATAGGCTTAAAACATGGCAAATATAACAATATTTGTGATTAGTCAAAAAGAGCTGAAATTTTTTATGAAATTGCATCTTTAATTCAAGAGTTATCTCCTCTTTAAGAATTTTGCTTTTAAAAATGTTATATTTTGGTAACAGGGATATTTCAAATATCAACTTTAGTCCATCTGTCTGTCTGTTCATAAAAACTGTTTCCTGTGATCACTTTTAAAGAACTTTTCCAACAAATTTACTTAAAATAGAGAAAAATTGAAACATTAGTGAATGGCCAATGGCCCTTCAGAATGTTGATGTGGTTCTAACAGGTAGGGGACTTATGGATTGCTTGTTTAACTTGTTACTTATTTTACATTTATATTTTTAGCTCACCTGTCACAAGTGACATGGTGAGCTTTTGTGATCGCTTTTCGTCCGGCGTCCGGCCGTAAACTTTTACTTTAAACGACATCTCCTCAAAAACCGCTAGGCCAATTTTATCCAAACTTCACAGGAATGTTCCTTTGGTAGTCAACTTTTAAATTTTGTTTAAAAGCAGAACTCTGGTTGCCATGGCAACCAAAAGAAAAAACTTAAAATATCTTCTTTTAGAAAACCGTAAGAGCTAGAGCTTAAATATTTGGCATGAAATATCAACTAGTCAGTGTCTACCAAGTTTGTTCAAATAAATGCCCTGGGGTCAAAATTGGCCCCACCGGGGGGGGGGGGGTTCTAGAGAGTGTCTACCAAGTTTGTTCAAATAAAAGCCCCTGGGTTAAAATTGGCCCCGCCTGGGGCCTATTTACAGGTGAGTGATTTCAGGGCCATCATGGCCCTCTTGTTAGAATAAATAGTGAAGTTTTACAAGATACATGTACAAGATACAAGTTCTAAGATTAAATTACAAGTCAGACATATTTTGTATCCGTTTCATATTTTGATGTGACAGCTGACAAATTTTTATCTTGTCAGGCTTTGTAACTTGATAGATTTTGGGGTTCTCATATTACTTGAAAATAATATAAAAGGTAGGACTGGTTGCTTGCAAAACCTGTCTTAACCTTAAATGTCAAGGTCTTTCTTAATTGTTTATAAGAAATTTAAATGATTTGTAATGAAGACTGTCACATGCTAGACCTGGATTTCTGACACAAAGCTCAAGGTCACCTTTAAAATAACTGAAATCATGTATACACATAATAAGAACTTGTACTGCCGGTACAGACTGGAATATCTAGCTTAAGCATGACTGTTTATGGTGGCAATGAGGCTCTTCTGCTACCTGAAAGCTAAACATTCCCATCTGTGACAACAGCCTGTGTTTGATTCTTTTTCTTGTATGTTATATATTATCCATATTTCAGAAAGAAAATATATGAACCAATATTTTTAATAAGCACCATAGGCATAATTACAGTATTATGAACTGTCAGAGTGTCCATACCAGAATAACCTAAACTGCAAGTTAGATTTATCTTAGGTTCTATATGTAGTGTACCAATGGCTTCATAATTTACACACTTACGTAATAGATATACCATTGCTGCGTTGACGATTTCTGGGTTTGCGTAAATTATACCATAATCACGTGACCTTTCTTACGCAACCTCACGAGACTTCGTCTCGTGAGGTTAAGGCATAAGAAAGGTCACGTGATTATGGTAATTATACCATAATCACGTGACCTTTCTTATGCAACCTCACTCGACTTCGTCTCGTGAGGTTAAGGCATAAGAAAGGTCACGTGATTATGGTATAATTTACGCAAACCCAGAAATCGTCAACGCACCAATGGTGTATCTGTTTTAACCTATAGCTCCGCCCAGAAACACTTACTCCTTCGATCTTCAAAACTGAAAATTATACCATAGTCTGGGTATGGTATAATTTACGGTTATTGGGAATTATACTTGGAAGAATTTTACATAAGAAGCGCTGAAGAGCTATAGGTTAAGTATCAATACATAGGAACATGATCATGGCATGTTACATATCCATGGCTTAATTTTGTTTTTTGAAGTTATTTCTAATATTAGGACTTTGAAATGGATATGGTTAACATTAACTTGTTAGTTGATTATATATAAAGTTCTATCTGTACTAATGGCATCATCTTATCAACACAAAATGGTATTGCCAAATTATATAACTGTGTCATCTATTTTTTGCAGCTACAGTCAAACGTGTATTAAGCGACCGGGCAAGGGAAACACCAAAAACGGTCGCTTAATGAAACGGTCTCTTAAGACAGCCAGCATGATGTAAAAGTCAAAATTTATAAATGACATCTTTTTTATTCGATGGGATTGTTTTTCAACTTCATTTTTATAATAAGTACGCTCCGATAATCTAAACGGATGCAAATGTAAAAATAACGTTCTGATATTTATTGACAAAATAAGTTTTGATCCATTACGTACATGTTTGACATTTTTCCAGAATTTTTTAACTTCACCGTTGTTTGTCATTGTCTCCAACACGAAAACCCTATTAGTGAAGATGTTTGCTGTTGTGCATTTTTTCATTTGAAATAAACAAACTACATCTATTTGTTACGATTAATTTAATGGCTGATCAAGTTCAAGGTCAATTCAATGCAGTGTAAATGTCAACAAGCGAAGCGTATACACCATCTCAGTATGGGCGGAGCGTTGCATTGTTTATCCGATATTATTGGATAATACACGTCACGCGTATACTTAACTTCATTTGCAAACGCTAATACGGTATGGGAAATAGAGTTTTTCACACGTTTATTGTTGTGTTTTGATTGCTGACACTTGTGACATAACGAGGTGGCGTTCTCTAAAAACACAATTACTTGACAGGTAAAAGTGGTCGTTTAATGAAAAGATTGATGTCAATTAGGTGACTAATTAGCGGTCGCTGGTCGCGTTGAGCAAAAGTCGCTTAATACATTAAAGATATAGAGAGAAAATGATCGGGGGGAATTTAAAGTGGTCGTTTAAGACAAAAGTCGCTTAATACACGTGGTCGCATGGGCAAGTTAGACTGTATTTAAATTTTATCACAGAAAAATGGACCCTAGTAGGGTTAACATATTCCTGCAAGTTTGATTTATCTTAGATTTCCCCAAGTAAATTCATTTGATATCTTCCATATTTAGTAGTTTGATACCTGTTATGGTCCTCAAACCTTTGGTGGAGTTTGAGTTCACTGCGTTTATAAATAAGCTTTTACAAATTGGCTCATACAGCCTATATTTATAAACTGAGGTCTTTCATGCTTAATAGGGATTTGCCTAGGGCAGTTATCTTCCTTCGGATGAAGTTAGGGGTCATTTGAGTCAAGGTCAAGATCACCAATGCCAAAAATAGATTTTTACACTTGCAGGTACGACCTTTATTTTTTCACAGGTGTAATTTTTGTATTTTCTGATCGCAAGATCAGTAAATACAAAGCTAACATCCACGGTCTAACACAAAATTTCCTCACAGACCTAACAACGCAAAGTAGTTCTCACTCAAAACTGCTTAAAAACCAGCAATTTAAAAGAAAGAATAATTTTTAATGTAGGCATTTAACGAATTACAATGCATTAAAAGTTTAGATTAGTCAGTAGAAATATGAGGTTACAATCCCAAACTTCACGGATGAATATCTTTTTTACCCAATGAAAAATGTTCGACTATTTCCGTAAAGCTTAATCAATGAAAATGCTATTTTTAGCTATGTCGATTACAGAACACTCCAGAGCGTAGTACACAAATAAATCTGACTGTCGAGTAGTGGAATATATACATGTCGGACTGTTTTGGCGAGAAGATTTTCGCTAAATTATTTTCATCAGTGTTTAACAACAGGTTTATCATGAACAAAATACCTCGAAATTAATAAGGATTACAAACACGAAATGGAAATTCTCAATTTTAGAATTATAATGTATTTGTTTTTATTCAAGCTACATACGTATTACTTCACCGTGGTGCAGAGGCAGCGCGCTCGTTAAGGGTGTGAGAGGCCTAAGGTTCAAATCCTAGTCGAGGCAACATTTTTTTTTAAGTGTCTTTTTTAAGGAAGTAGCCACGATATGCAAGGATAAAGTGTGGCTGTCATAAAAAAATGAAAAATGATTTTTTGATGTAACTCTAGGCATGCAAAATTCCATATGTATCAATCTCAAACTGTTATAGAAAAAAATCTAAACGCAGTCGCTGTAGTATATAAAAATAAACTTATACAGGAAAGATCAGAAAATACCACAGAGCATGCAGCCCTTTGATTATTTGGTAAGATAACTTGCATTGTCTTGTAATGGGTCAGTGGGGTCAAGGTCACCAGTACTAAAATAGATTTCTTTCACCTTTGATCATTTATTCAAAAAAGGCATGTCACAACATTTAAAGCATGCCACTTGTGTTGGGTGGTGTTAAAGGTAAAAAAAAATTGTTCCAGTGTGAATAGTAGAAAATGCTGCCTGTTATCATATGATAATTATGCTTACATTCTTCAAATATTCTTGACTTAAGTTTTGTTCCTTTTAATGATAATGCAAGAGTATGATGTCATAAAAATTATTTACAGCAGAGTTAAGTCAGTTGTTTCTTGCTAATCAGAATGGAGTTTTAAAGAGTCATAAGCAGGTCACTTGTTACTACAAACCATCAAAAATATTTTGGTAATGATATTGCATCAAATATTTTATTGTTTATCATTTTTTTCCATTAGATTGACGGCACAACAGAAGAAAAGTTAACATATGCTGAAATAACAGACAGGGTAGAACATGCAGCTGCTGGTCTACAGAAATTGGGTGTCTGTAAAAATGATGTGATAGCAGTTGTGGCACCGAACTGTCCTGACTATGTTGTGGCGTTCTATGCCTCCGCCCTCATTTACGCTACATTTCAACCTATAAACCCTTTATTCACAATAGGTAAAAACTGTATATTATTGTTAGATATTTTTTTACAAAGTTAAAAGCAAATACATGTTGAAGTAAAAATTAGTAAAATCTGAAGATAAGAATAAATATACATGTATTTTGGCTTGCTGTTCATGAACATTGGAACTGTTAGAATAACAATTTTTTATGTAATTACAATGTATTAATTAACATTTATCTTACTTAAATTTTTGACTCAAAACCACTTGGCCCACACAGCTGTGGGCTAGAATCTTGACAGGGACTTTGGATTCTTTCATGTGAGGAAGCTATCCAACTAGCTTATGGAACGTCAGTGGTCCTACTCAGGTGCCCGTTCATGCCTGAAATAATGCACAGAAGGTCACTGGATGTATTCCTATCACCAGTAAAGCTGGAAAGTTGGCATAATTATGACCTATACTGTGTCGGTGTGATTCAAAACCCAATCAAACAAATCAAACGAACTTAAATTTGTATAATGGACTTGCTATTTAGAAGTGTTTTTTTTTAATATTAGGGAATTGGATGCTAAAATGTTGTAAAAATTAACATATCAACTGTATAGAGACTGCTGTCAGACTGATGTGAAATTAAATAGTTTTATCAATAACTAGTTATATTGACTAATTTGCTAGTGAAACTTATTAGTTATAAAGCTATAATTATAACTATACATTATTTGTTAATACATAATTTTTTTATGCCCCCGCCATGTAATGGCTGGGGCATATAGTGTTACCCTGTTCCGTCATTCCGTCCTTCCGTCCTTCCATCCTTCCGTCCTTCTGTCATTCCGTCATCATCAGTTTCCGTTCATTATCTTAAGAACGGTTGAACACATTCAACTCAAATTTGACATATGGATATGTCATGAGAAAATACAGGTCAAGTTGAATTTGGTCATGGTTCGATGATTTTTGGCAGAGTTATGCCCCTTTTACTTTGAAAATAATATGAAATTTCAGTTTCCGTTCATTATCTCCCAAAAGGTACAACACATTCAACTCAAACTTGACATATGGATATGTCATGACAAAATACAGGTCAAGTTTGAATTTGGTCATGGTTCGATGATTTTTGGCAGAGTTATGCCCCTTTTACTTTGAAAATAATATGAAATTTTCAGTTTCCGTTCATTATCTCCCCAACGGTACAACACATTCAACTCAAACTTGACATATGGATATGTCATGAGAAAATACAGGTCAAGCTCGAATTTGGTCATGGTTCGATGATTTTTGGCAGAGTTATGCCCCTTTTACTTTGAAAATAATATGAAATTTTCAGTTTCCGTTCATTATCTCCCCAACGGTACAACACATTCAACTGAAACTTAATATATGGATATGTCATGAGAAAATACAGGTCAAGCTTGAATTTGGTCATAGTTCGATGATTTTTGGCAGAGTTATGCCCCTTTTACTTTGAAAATAATATGAAATTTTCAGTTTCCGTTCATTATCTCCCCAAAGGTACAACACATTTCACTCAAACTTGACATATGGATATGTTTTTGGAATGCCCTGGCCAAGTTCAAATTTGGTCATGGTTCAATGATTTTTGGCAGAGTAATGCCCCTTTTACTTTGAAAATAATATGAAATTTACAGTTTCTGTTCATTATCTACCTAACAGTGTTACATATTCAACTTAAATTTGACATATGGATATGTTAAAGGAATGGGCAGGTCAAGTTGGAATTTGGTCATGGTTTGATGATTTTTTTGGCAGAGTTATGTCCCTTTCACTTTGAAAATAATATAGATACATCTTAGAAATAAGCAGTTTAAGTTTGAATTTGGTCGTGGTTCAATGATTTTAGACAAACTTATCTTTCCTGAATGTTGGAAAAATTTTGAACTTTCAGTTTCAGCACTCATACTTTTAGCCATTATTTGGCTACAAATATGCAATATGCTATTTCTAAAAGGTTAAGACTGAATAATTTCAGTGCCTTGAACATTGTATGAAAATGGTTTGTGTTAACATTGAAAAGTTTTAAGGGCTTTGAACTTAAAATAAAAAAAATAATTTAAATTAATGCACCATCTGAAATTTTGGCTGCATGCGGGGGCATCCGTGGCATGATGACACATTTCTAGTTTTCTTAGTAAATATGGGTTTTTATTTTCATAGAATGGTATGAAAATAAATAGTTCACAAGTGGCAGCAGAAGTAAAATATGTTTCACTACAGTGAAAAATAATTTTTTACAGTGAAAATACAGAAAATGAAAATATGCTTTTTATATCATCAATGTTTCACAATATTTCTTTCATAAGTATTATACTTTTATTACACTTCATACACAAATATGTAAATATGTGACTGTGACAGAAAAAGCAATGGGCACATCAGTATCCTATGGACAAATTTTTAGATGTTTTTATCTTTTGTTTTTCAGATGATTTAAAGAAAGTGTTTAAAGTATGTAGCACAAAGTATGTTATTACAATACCTGAACTACTCCCTAAAGTTACACCTGCTATTCAAGATCTACCTAATTCTATAAAGGTATACTTTGGTTTCTTTAATTTGCACCAAGCTTTATTTTCATAATTATGTACATTATATAATTTCACTTGTGTGGTTTACCACTTTGATCACAACATACAGGATCTTTAAATATAAAATTTATGCAATACAATCAGTTGCGCAATCAAAATAATAACATTATTCAGGTAACTGTACATACATAGATCAGGCTACATAGCAGTGAACATTGACTTTAGTGTAGTAAAGACAAATCATTTTATAGCCATAAGTGTTTAACAATGTTTAACTTGTGCAGAAATTTATCACAGCAACTTATAAGCAATGTAAGAATGTTTTTTCTGTTTGTACAAACATAATAAAAACTCAGTAGTGTAATTGATACTCTCCTGCGCATGCATCGGTCAAATGTTTTACTCCCGCTCACTTAGCGTGAGTGTATTTATTGAGCTGCAAAGGGAGCATATGTAATTGAGTGGACACCTACCTTTATATCCTACAACAGCTGTTTCACAGAATCAATTCTTGTAACTGGTTCTTACCCTACAGTACATGTGCACACAACAGTTACAACAGGAAATTTTACTCAATCGAATTTAAATTCTCTGACATCTTGATATACTGCGAATTCACTTATATTCGTGGGCATGAAGTTTCGTGGTTTTATCAAAACGGGCATATTCGTAGGTTCTTAAATTCGGGGATTTTCATTTTCTTGTAAAAAAAATTTAGTAACCTAATGCAGGTAATCTTAAACTTAAATGCCAAACATTTTTACTTACAGCATGTACATATCTAAATATGTGTCACACAGCGCTTGTCAATAAATTTAATCCATGCCTCTGGGCATAACTCTAATATAACACAGTTACTGCCAATAATTGGCTGCAATTAACACATTTATGTGACATGATATGCACCTCCATTAGACACACTGCCCCTGTAATTCGCCGATGTAAACATCGCATAATTTATACGACACCTGACACGTTTTAACCAGCAAGTTTAAAAAATTGGTCTTACCATATTGGACAGTAACTACACGCAACGTCACTGTGACTGTGTAAATTTACATGCATATAAATTAATCTGAGTAAATAACACGAGTATGTGTGGATCTAGAAAAGGTCGGTGGCGTCTTTGATGTTTACGTAATAGCATTCGCACAAATACAGATTAAAATTCATTTAAACTGGATCATTTAAAAAACAACAAAAGAAAGTACAATTCATCTGTTTTAGCTATTGTATTTTCTTATAATTTTATGTACTTACGACATTAATATTAAAGACATTTTTTTAATTAATAAGAACTGACATTTTTTTTAAGCGCTAATTAATTGGATTGCCTGGGTTCCCATATTTACTTGATTATGTCAAGTATTCTAACCACGATCAAGTGTGTATATGTGACCGACATTTGTGACAGTATTAAATTGAGGACATATAATTGAGTTTTTTTTTCAAGTTTCTTAAATATTGCAAACGGATTCAATCTGTCACTAACCTGATTATCTGGAATGTATGTATATACATTTATTTCACGAAAATCTACCGGAAAAGAGCCGACGCATGTTTGTAATCTATAGAACTGAGACATGGTAAGAAGTTTTTGTTGGGATAAAATTTCGACGGATCTTAAATTCATGGATTGACCTACCCACAAAAACCACGAAAATTCGTGCCCCACGAATAATAATGATTTTACAGTAGGTTTTGACCTTTCAAAATAATAGGCTTTTCTTTGGCCATGTTTTAAAGATAATAACTAACTTTGTAATAGTTACTTTAAAATTTTAACAATACATCAAAAAGCTCTGCTCTGCAACAATCATGATTTTATTACCATGCCTGTTATATAAGTATATTTCCATCAACTTCTTTTCCTTATCACAGACAAGTAAGGTTTTCATTTAAACAAACAATATAATGTAACTAAATAAGGTAAATAAGATATTGATATATTTTACAGGTGATTGTAATTGGAGATAAAGATGCTGCAGGAGGTAACGTGACATTTCAGTCGTTAGTTGAAACTTCCGACGGTCAGTATACAACACCGGCTGGTAACCCCAAAAAAGATGTGGTGGCACTTATGTCATCTAGCGGGACAACAGGCTTTCCTAAAGCTGTACTAATTTCCCACTTTGCTATTGTAGCAAATACATTAATACAACAGTAAGTTTTTTTTTGTATATTTTGATTTTATACAATATTATGTTAGAGGCAATATTCACATAGACCATGTCAACAGAGTGGTACTACGACAGCTCCCTCTTCTTTGCAGTCTCCATACTATAGAATATTGAACAGAATTTTTATCTCAACTAATTAAAGAATAAAGAGAGCTATTGTACTTTCCCGGACATCATGAGTCAGTGTCACTGTTACACATCTATAAAGTTTTTATGTGAAAGTTGGTAACTCCAAATCTATTAAAGGGAATGGGTTGAAACTTCACACAGTTATTTGAGAGCATAATAGGAGATCACTGTTCAATTTCTATAACTCTAACTTGGATTTTTTACAGAATTATGGTCCTTTCTGAACTTAGAAAATTCTACATTATGTGGGTTCTTGTTTTTACAAATAACAACAATTAATAGTCAAGCACCCTGTCCAACTGGTAGCTCTTGTAACATTTAATCAGTATCTTAATATTATATTCCTCCAGACTAACAATGGACATTCTAAATTCAAAATGGGCTAATTATGCACCTTATTACACAAATTTGATTTACAGTCAATCTAAAATAAATATAATAATTATATACATGTATAAAATAAAACCTACCATATGATTTTATTTGAAAATCATATTTTATTTAATTATTGTAAAAGTTCTAATGGGAAGTCATTCTTATGATTTTATTTTTATATAGTAATACACCAATGATAGCATCAGATAGCAACCTGGTGTCGTTCCTGCCACTATTCCACATGTATGGACTGTATGTGATGACATACTATAGTCATTTTGTTGGAGCAAGTTTGGTTCTCATGAGAAAGTTTGCACCTGACGATTATCTTAGACTTCTAGAAAAATACAAGGTAAATATCATAAAATACAAGGTAAATATCATAAAATACAAGGTAAATATCATAATACGCTAGGATAATGTCATGATAAAGAAGTTTAATATCATAAATGAAACATAAGGTAAATATCATTAATGTAAAATAAAAAATACACGGTAAATATCATAAAATACAATGTCAATATAAAGTAAATATCATAAAATACATGGTAAGCATCATAATATACAAGGTAATACAATAATAAAAGGTATTTATATCATAATAAAAGGTAAATACCATAATGAATATCATAAAATACATAGTAAGTATCATAAGATACGAGGTAATTAAATACAATGATGAAAGGTAAATATCATAATAAAAGGTATATGCCATAATGAAAGGTAAATATCATAAAATACAAAGTATGTATCATAATATACAAGGAAAATGTCATAATATAGGGTAAATGTCATAATATACATGGTAAATATCATAAAATACATTTTAGATATCATAAAATGCAAGGTAAGTATCAAAACATACAAGGTAAATGTTATAATATAAAAGATTAATATCATAAAACAAGGTAAATATCATAAAATACAAGATAAGTATACATGAACAAGGCATATATCATAAATATGTTATTAGTTTCTAATCAACATAAATTAACATGTATATCATAATTACAGGGTAAATGTATATTAGATATAGTTATATACAAGATAGATTCAAATTATAACACATTATATACAATTAATACATCATAAAATGTGAGAGAATTCCATATCTTAAAAGTTACCATACAAAACTCTGTTAAGGATTATGATATTGTTTATTTTAATTTGAAGCCGACAGTTATACAGACAGTTCCACCAATAATGGTCATGTTTGCCAAGTACCCAAAGGTAGCAGATTATGACCTCTCCTCCATCAAGGTTGCAGTTTGTGGAGCTGCTCCACTTAGTAAAGAGATAGAGGACATGGTGAAAGAGAAGCTTAAAATACCATGTGTTCATCAAGGTAACATGTAAAATCAAAATTCAAAAATTTTGCTAAACAAAATGACTCCAAGTTATAATACAATAATAAGAAAATACTGTATAGGTCCAGTGCCCAGTAAATTGTATCTTTCCTTAGCTTCTGTTCTGAAGTGACATGAATACAAAAATTATCCTCAAATTGTAGCTTATAGCACAGATGGCAGCGGAACTACCTACTTATGGATGACATAAGATTTTGGTTTATGTAGTGCTCCGACCAATCAATTACACTACATGAGGAAGGTTTTTTGCCAAGGGGTTAAGGTTTTTTACTTTTTACTACTGCCCTCTCACCAATGTGGTTTTAGCCTCGAAAGGGACAGCTCGCTTGTAGAAGTTGATGTTCTACTCGGATGCCTGCTTGTCCTATGATAATGCATGGAGGAACACGTAAGGTTATCCTCCACCAGTAAAGGTGGAAAGTTGCTTTATGACCTTTAAAAGCATTGGTGTGACAGAAAATCCGACAAACATACAAACATAATTATACATAAGTAAATACATGTTTGTGAATGTTTTACTTAATTAAAGTCTTTGCTTATTTGTAGGATATGGGATGACAGAAATTGGTGTATCACATATAAATGGTAAGACAGATTTTAAACATAAATCTGTGGGCAAACGTCACTCACTTGTACAGATGAAGGTAAGTAGTCATAAAATAGTAGATTTTCAAGATTATTAATGGCTTCTTTCTTGCATAATTACATCTTCTTTTTTTTTCATATATCATGGTAAAAATGTCAATTATTTTCACATGCTCACAAGTTATCATCAATTTTTTCCCAAAAATTTTATCTATTAGCAGTTAATCTTTTTAGCTCACCAGAGCACAATGGCATGAATATAGAACAACAAATTACAATCAGAATAAATTGGCAATATAGACTACACATATATTTAATACCATTGTAACATATACTTACATGAACATGAAGGGGTTTGGTCCATGTGACATGCCTCTCAACCTAGGGATCATGCTTTTGAGCTCTACTTGTGTCACAACCATGTTACTTCCATCATTTTGAAACCAGTACTGGTTAATTTCATGATTAATATATAAACAAATTGCAAGAACTTGTTTCACTTTTAGCTATTCGAAGGTGTCAGAACTGTTGATTCTACTTATTTTTCATGTAAGGAATTAGGAAAGTTGAAGTAACTGTACTTTATAGCTTTTTATATATAAATCTTTGTTTATCATGAAATAGAATATCAACAAAAATG